ATCACATTAGTGGCTTCTTTATTTCCTTGGTGCATGTACCATTAATATATATCCTACCCATATTTGTCTAACTACATCCTCTAATATCAAGAAAATATGAAGATTGATATGTTTTGTCAATCAATCCAATTTAAGTCAAAGATTTTAACAGTATGACATTTTGGATATTCCTTTCATTGAAAAGCAACGTTTTATTCTATGAAATTTTGTGAACTTTGATCGTTATCATGTCCACTTTCACAGTTTCACTAATTTAATGTCATGCATTAGTATTATGAATTGATAATTCTTTTCAAACTTTGTTTTCTAGGTAATAAAATATCAACTCCTCTATCTATCATTATCATTTTCACTTTCATTGATGTCATGTATAATGTTTGTACTTGAATATTACAAACTGATAATATTTTACAAAGTTTAAGTTTGAGGTAATAATTGTAAGCTAGAATTCTTAAATATTAATCCAATAGAAGTAATGATAGGATCATTTCTAACTAGAGTTAGATTTGGATACTCAATATGAGTAGACACATTTTGTGAAAGTGTATTAGATTTCATTGTTAAGTGTAACTGTGTGATTATTATGCTCCCTATTTTTTTATTTATTTATTTTTTTATTATTATTTTTTTTTTAAATAAGAGCTTCACTTTATAACCCAAGTGTTTTAATATGACATCTCAATTTGGGCTTTGTTAGTGGGCTTCCTTACCTTATATGTTTGACAATAACTTTTAGTGATTTAATGTTTTGATCAGTACAAAATACGTAGTATGAAAATACTTTCTAATGTAAATGTTAGTGTTAGGCCAAATGATGGTACATACTTATTAACTTTTGAATTATTGCTTTCCAAAAGCTAACAAAACTAACTTTTGGAGTGGTGTTTGTCAAATGTCAACTAATAAATTTACCATTTAAAAATTTAATTATATCAACAATTAGTTTGTAATGAACACTTTTACCAAAAATATAGTTTTTTTTTTTTTTTTTTTTTTTTTTTTGAAGAATACCAAATAGCTACTTTGACGTTACTTCTAAAAGCTAAAATGTACACCTATGGAAAAAAAAGACATAGTCGACATAGTCACATTTATCATTTACTCCCTCCGTTTTAAAATACTTGGTCCACTTTTCTTTTTCGGCCGTTTTTAAAAACTTACTCTATTTTCTTATTTAGAAAACTTTTACAATATTTAATTTATTTTTCTCACCTCGTGGGCCCACCATTAATAATATTTTATAAATTTAATGTTCTCTCTCCTCCAATTCTCTCCACTACTTTTACTTTTTACAATTTTTTTATTCTTCCACCTATCCCAATACCTCAATATTTTATTACTTTCTTCAATTTCTCTTAAATTAACGAAAAATGAACTTCCGTTATTGTTAAACATAAGAAACCTTGATTTTTTTATTTATACTAGTTTTATACCCGAACGATGCCCAAAAGGTTGATAAAATTTAAGATAACATTTTTACTTGAATGTTAAATATGGTCAAATAATAATTCGTTCTATAATGTAGGATATTTAGATATACGATATTAGAGTGTACTTTTTGTGTCGTGATGCCTAGGTTGATAAAATTTGAAGATAATATTTCGACTTGAAAGTTAAATACGGTCAAATAATTAATTAATACCGACAAGATTTATTAATTATTATAGTTTTCTAAAATAATAATTAATTAATTATTGTATTTCCAAGAATTGGAAGCTATATAAACATCCAAATGAAGAGAGATTAAATATTGAAAAGGTTATCAATGTAGTAGTCCGTACAAAATTAGGCCTAGAGTTTCATGTTAGCGGTGAAGTTAATATTTGGGGCAGAGCCCGATAGCCATATAGTAAGAATTGTGGGCCGGTGGTGGCCCATGTCATGGTAACATCGCTATACTACTTAATACTCCCACATAATATGTAAACTTTTTGGCACTCTCTTGTATTTAAGTGCAATGTACAAAACCTCTCTTTTATATTTTTATCCTAAGTTTGCAATCGAAATTAAAACTAGTCTAACGGGTTAAATTCCTCAAAAGGATATACTCCGTATAAGATTGAATCTGGTTTAAATCATTACACTTACGATTTTTACTACGCCTAAAAAAACAAAATTAAACAATTGAAAACTAAAAGTGTACCGTGCTTGTTTTTTGTGTCTTTAGCCTTAACCTTATTTTCTTATTATTACAGATTTTTTTGGTCTTATATCATTATTTTCTGTATCTTTTCTTCTGTCAAAAACAGATGGTTGATTAGAGTATCGTTTTTGGTTTCAACGCCATATTGCTTTAGCTCATTTCATTTTGAAATTTTGATGTTCCAAAATGTGTAAGAGGTAGAAATCCCTTAGCATGAGAAATGAGAAGTCATCATCATCGTCCTCGGAGTCCTCTGAGTCAGTGGCGGACTTGGGCTTAGACCTGGTGGGTCAAGTGACTCACCAGGCCCAAAAAAAAATTTTAAGTTATTTTTTGAAAAAAAAAAAAAAAACTGACATTTGCTTTCGAAATCCCGAGTTTCTGTCTTCTTCAAACAATCAAACCCTAGCCTTCTTCTCTTCGCGACTTCGCCTCATCTCCATTCTTCAGTTCGCCTCTTCGCTTCGTCCCAGCCAGGCAGCCACCGTTCTCTTTGCCTGGTGGTCGGTGGTCGTGGACTCCGTCCTCTTCGTGGCTTCTCGCATAGTCGCATAATCGCATTTCGAAATCGCTACTCGCTAGTAAGTTGATTTCTAATCTTTATTTTTAATTTCTAATCTTCAAATTAATTCAGTCTAATTAGTTAATTTTATTAAACTTTGGTTTAAACTTTGGTTGATTTGTTAATTTGTAGTTGGTTGTGCTGCTGAATTGGCGAATTGCTGTCTTGCTGAGTGCGTGCCTAAGACTTGAGTGCTGCCGACTGCCGTGCTGCGGTGCTGGCCGACTGGCCGTGGCCCTACTGCAGTGCTGCTCCGCCTGCTCAGCTGCTCGTCTCCGCCTGCTCCGCTGCTCGCCTCCGCCTAGCAAGGTAGGTAATCAACTAATCATCAATTGATTCTTTTTTTTTTTTGTGAATTTTTTATCAAATTTGCATTACTTGTCTCTTGAACTTATGTGAAATCTGTTTTGTGTAATTGTGTTTTGTGTAATATGTTTATGTGATTATGTCATTATGTGAAATTGCTTGATTTAGTTGAATATTTATTCAAATAATTTTTCTGGGGAATATTGCTTGATTTAGTTCAATATTTATTCAAATTTCAGAATGAAGAGAAAACGTACTCCAAATGAAATGCAAAACATTACTAGCTTCTTTGCTAAAAAGAATCCTACTCCAACTTCTCTTCCACATCCAACACAAAATGAACAAACTATAACTCCACCTCAAGAAAGTGAACAACTTTCATCTCCATCTCATTATTCAACTCAAAATTCCCCTCAAAATGAACAAGACCAATGTTCTCCTAATACCCCAATTTTTGGAGAAAGATTAAGTGAACATGAATTTGCTAATCTTCCACAAGATCCAGGAAAGAGGAGAAAAATGAGTCAATTTCATAAAGATGTTAGAGATTTAGTGAGAAGAATTTACATTCAAAGAAAGCCTTGTCAGCCCAAAGACTTTACATTTACTCAAACTTCTATTTTTGGCAAAAATCGTCGCTTTTGTGCTAAGTGGTTTGATACTTGGACTTGGCTTGATTATAGTGTGGAAAAGGATGCTGCCTATTGCTTCCCTTGTTATCTATTCAAGGATGAAAATGCCTTTGGAGGTGATGCTTTTGTTAGTGATGGTTTCAAATCATGGAATCGATCGGATTTAATAAGAAAACATGTCGGTAAACACTTGAGTGCACATAATAATGCTGTTTTAGCTATGGATTTGTTCAAGAAACAAAATTCAAGCATCACACAAGCCTTGACAAAACAAACCGCCGAGAGTACAAATGCATATAGGACGCGACTTGAAGCTTCAATTGAATCTATCCAATGGCTTTTACTCCAAGGGTTGCCTTTCCGTGGTCATGATGAAAAAGAAAGTTCCTTAAGAAGAGGTAACTTTCTTTCACTTTTATCCCTTATTTCCAAAGGTAATCCTGAATATTCTAAAGTTGTTTTCAAAAATTCTCCTAGTAATTGTCAACTTACTTCTCCTAAAGTCCAAAAAGATATCATAAATGCATGTGCAAAAGAGACCACTAAAGCAATGCTTGAAGATATTGATGGTGGTTTGTTTTCTATCCTTGCTGATGAGTCCGCTGATGTTTCTGACAAGGAACAATTGGCTCTTTGTTTGAGATATGTTAATAGAAAGGGAGAAGTGTATGAGCGTTTACTTGGTATTGTGCATGTTGTAAACACTGCTTCTTTGACTCTCAAAACTGCTATTGAATCCTTATTAATGGAGCATTCTTTGTCTTTCTCTCAAGTACGGGGTCAGGGTTATGATGGGGCAAGTAATATGCAAGGTTCTATTAATGGCCTTAGGACTCTTATAGAGAATGAGTGTAAAGAAGCTTATTTTGTCCACTGCTTTGCTCACCAACTTCAATTAACTCAAGTTGCACTTGCTAAAAAGAATTCAGATTGTGCTTGGTTATTTGTTGATGTACTTGCACCTCTCTTGAATTTTGTCGGGGGTTCACCAAAAAGGAAAGAGTTTCTTCGTGAAAATCAAGCTCAAAGAGTGGTGGATGCATTGTCTCTAGGTGAACTTGAAACGGGTTCAGGTTTAAATCAAGAACGTGGATTAGGTAGACCTTGTGATACTCGTTGGGGATCTCACTTCAAGACAATCTTGAATGTACTTGATTTATTCCCTATAATCCTTGGTTCTCTTGAGGATATTGCAAAAGTATCTGATACAATAGATTCTAATAGAGCTTAAACACTTACAAATCTTCTGATGTCCTTTGATTTTGTGTTCGTGGCACACTTGATGGTTAGTATATTTGCGATAACAAATGCTTTGAATGTGGCCTTACAAAAGCACGATCAAGACATTGTGAATGCAATGGCCATGGTTAATGTAACCAAGACTAATTTGCAAAAAATGAGATATGAAGGATGGGATTCTCATATGGAAAAGGTAATTTCTTTTATTGGTGACTATGACATTGCAGTTCCAGATATGGAGGCTAAATATGTTGTTCCTGGGAGGAGGTTGTTTAGAGGTAAATGCCCACAAGTGTCTAATCTACATCATTTTCGAGTTGAAGTTTTTTTTGGTGTCATTGATCTTCAATTGCAAGAACTTGAAAATCGATTTCCCGAAATAACTAAAGAACTACTTGTGTGTATGTCTTGTTTGAGTCCTGTGGATCGTTTTTCTAAGTTTGATAAGGAAAAATTGATTAAGCTTGCAAAATTCTGTCCTAATGAATTTCCAAGTTCAGAATTGATAGTCTTTGGTCATACACTTGAGAGTTACATTTGTTCTGTTAGAGGAGATGAAAGGTTTTGGAATTTGAAGGGTCTTAGTGATCTTTCAATCAAATTGGTTGAAACGGGATTGTCTGAAACTCATGATAGGGTCTATTTACTTTTGAAGTTGGTGTTGCTTCTTCCTGTCGCAACGGCAAGTGTGGAAAGGGTATTTTCTGGCATGAAGCAAGTGAAAGACAAACTACGAAATAGCATGGGAGATCAAATGTTGAATGATTGTTTAATTACTTATTTGGAGAATGATTTGTTTTTGAATGTTAGCATGGAAGATATCATGAATCGATATCAAAACATGAAAACTCGTCGAGAACTATTGTAATAAGTTTGCATTACTATTTAGTTGTCTTTTGTAGTATTATATGAACATTTGGTTGTATTTTGTACTGTTTGAATATTTGGATGTATTTTTTAGTACTATTATTTGGTTGTTCGGTAATTTTTTTTTTTTACATACTTGATTATCGATTGTGACCCACCAGTCGGAAGTTCCTAGGTCCGCCACTGCTCTGAGTCACGATATAATTATATTAGAGACCGAAAAATTGTCTGATTTTAAAAAATTTATGATATACGAAATATTTATTTTAAAATCATATTTTATTTTTATTGTTCAACATAAGTATTTTGGCTTTTATATTTACCAATGTACAACTTCCACTACTATTATATCTAATTTTCTACAAATAATTCATTTTATAACCAAAAAAAGTATCTAGAGATAAATTTATAAAATAATTATATTTTTTAAAAAATAACCCAATAATAAAAAATAAAAATATGAAGTATTGTTTTAGGTCAAAATAAACATGTAATAAGGCTTTGTTCACTCACCTTAATACTGAAAGGGATATATAATATATACTCCGTAATCTCGTAATAGAGCATTATTTTGTTTTCATAGGACTGGGCTGGTTTGCTTTATATTTAGTAAAAAAAGATCTAGATATTATCATCATTTCATCATGTATGGGTCTAATTTAGAAAAAAAAAAAGAGAGCCAACAAAACACATTCTTGTCTATAAAAAATCACTTTAACTTATACCCACGATTGATTAAAACTTTTTCTTTATTCAATTCCTTTTCTTTTCTAAGGTTTTTTTTTAAGATTTTTTTTACTTAACTTTAAATTCAAATTTACACACAATCAATCAGTACATATATTTTACACTTATGATATTATGATTAAAAGTTTTACTACCTCCGTTAATTATTATGTACAACTTTTGAATTTTATTATATCTTACAAATAATACCCCAAATTGCATATAATAATTAACGGAGATAGTTATTTTTTCTTGTTAATTTAGCGTTTTTAGTAAATGTTAGTTACATATTTATATACTCCATATCTAACAACTTAATGTATATTATAGGTTTATCTAAAAATGAAAATCATAATATTATAATCCTAAAGGCAAATCTGCATGATCTTGTGGCATATTCAATCTTTAGAGTACAAGTGCACTCATATGTTTGAGTAATTATAAAAAAGAAACAACTTTTTTTTTGAAGCCATAAAAAAGAAGCAACTCATTAGTCATTACTTATATTTATCATCAATTGAAGATAACTTAGTGCTTAATACGTGTCACAATTAAGTTTACGTGACACGTATTAAGGATTTAAGGAGCCCTTATTACCAACTATTTGGTGCACTTAAATATCAAAACAAGGCCAAAAAGTTTTATCATTTTTAGATTTTTCACTATCATTTTATTTGTTAACATCTTTTTTGTATTTGGTGCGAATACTAGAATTTTTGCTGGATCTTGGTTTAATGCAAAATTAAGAATAGCTTACCTAACTATTAATTGAAAATCAATTAAGAATAGTACTTGTACTTTGTATTAACTATCGTTTTAAATAACAACGGATTTTGCAAACACTTTTAATACCCACAAAACAAGAAATGTGTTAGCATTAATTAAGAATATAGATGAAAATTTGATTATTATTTGATTTTTTAACTTGAACAAATTAAAAGATGTTCATAATACAATTGAGTACATCATATGCACATGATACACCCACACCTTTATACAAGTACTTAGTTGCTGGTGATTTGATCCTCTTCCAAATCATGAGCAACTAAATAAAAATATTGTATTAGGTAGTGTACGATATACACCCAGATGTAAAATAAAAATTAACATATCGATAGCAAAGACAAAGTAATGCATAGATAGTTGATCAATCATACAACTCAATTTAGAGTTTTTTTTACTAATTTGTTAATTTGATGGACCTATGAATTTGCTGACAATCAATTGCCTTACTTCAAGGCTGTCCATTGAAAGATTGGATTGTATAGCTAAAATAAATTTAGGTCTGACACATTTCACTAGATACTAAAATGATAATGAGAGTATTGCTTAGCTATATTTTGTTACTCACTCAATTATATTAGTAAGAAGTAATAATAAATTAATTAATAATTTCTCTTTCTTAAAGAGACGCCAAATTCCATTGGGAAAAGCTTCTCTGTCAATCTCCACACACGACAAAACAACTTGGGCCATTCCCTACTTTGTTCACTTTATAACCCCTATTGCAAATACACAATTTTATAAGCCCCTTTTTGCAAATTACTTACCTTTTTTAGAGCTATATAATCCCTCAACATTTCTCCTTCATTACTCATTGAAAAACATACGCCTTTTTCCCTTTTACCTTTCCATCTATTGTCTAATATAATTTTTAAGGGTACTTTCTTTCCCTTGAGCTCATAAGAAAATATAAATATATTTATACATATTCATAAAGTTTCATGCAAAAATGGCTATTGATTGCATGAGAAACATACCTCATACTACCACAAAAACCTACCAAAACTCAAAAGATGACACACAACTTGTATTTGATTCCTCAATTCTTAGCCACCAACATAGCATACCACAACAATTTATATGGCCTGATGATGAGAAGCCAAGCATCATTGACCCGGAAGAGCTACCAGTTCCCCTCATCGACCTCCAGGGTTTCCTATCAGGGGATTCCCAGGAAACCCTGGAGGTTTCAAAGCTAGTGGGTGAGGCTTGCCTCAAGCACGGGTTTTTCCTAGTTGTGAATCACGGTGTTGATTCCAAGTTGGTTAGGGATGCCCATAACTTGATGGATGATTTCTTCGACCAACCCTTGGCTCAGAAAGAGAAGGCTCAAAGGAAGTTTGGTGAGCATTGTGGCTATGCTAGTAGCTTCACCGGTAGATTTTCTTCTAGTCTTCCTTGGAAGGAGACTCTCTCCTTCCAATTCTCTCCTCCCTCTTCTAATGATGAGTGTTCATCCTCTTCCAACAAAGTTGTCCAAGAATACTTCAACAATAAATTGGGTGATGATTTCAATCACTTAGGGTAAGCTAATTTAATAACCTAAACATTTTTTTTTTTTTGGTTATTAATATTCTTTAAGATCATTCAAAGGTGGAATATTATAGTTAACTCATTTGCTTACAACATATACTTGAATGAATACACAGGAAGGTGTACCAAGACTATTGCGAGGCGATGAGCAAGCTATCCCTAGGAATCATGGAGTTGCTAGGACTAAGCATGGGAGTAGGAAGAAAATCATTTAGAGATTTTTATGAAGACAATGAATCAGTGATGAGATTGAATTACTATCCACCATGTCAAAGACCGGACCTTACACTCGGTACCGGGCCTCATTGTGATCCAACATCATTAACAATCCTTCATCAAGATCAAGTTGGAGGTCTTCAAGTGTTTGCAGATGGAAAATGGCGTTCCATTTCACCCAATTTCAACGCTTTTGTCGTCAACATTGGTGACACTTTCATGGTACGTGTATGGAGCGTCCAATAATATGTCATTAATATCTTATCCTAACTCTTCCTTTGTCCTAAAATTGATCACCTTATATATACTTGTTTTATACTTTTATGTGAAATGTCACTCTCATATCTTCAGTGAATTAAAACTTTCTAGGGAGATTTTTTTATACATATTTTTTTTGGTTGATTTGAATTGAAAAAATTAAATCTTTGTTACTTTTGATATTACAACTTTGTGTCTCTAATCATATCATTGTGATTAAATTAGATTTTTTTTTTTCATAATTTTTTTTTATTATTATTTTTAAGTAGCTCCTCTAAAGTTTCAATAAATAAATACAAGGATATATAGATCCCACAACAAAAACCCAAAATAAAATAAAATTAATTAGGTATTTCACTTTTTAACTTCACTAACTTATAAAGGAAAGTACAATTTTTTTTAGGACACCTTTTTATAGCAAAATGTGAAAATATAATATCTGATATGTTATGAATTTATGATACGTGGTTGACCTTTTGTTATCAATATCATTCATTTCAGCTGATGGTGCCATAATATACTAATTAAGTTTTTGCAAATTATAAGGATTATGGATAATAAGCACTAAATAAAATTTTGAATTGCATGGTATAAATAATAAATTATGTGTTACTCTATCTTATGTTATGAAGTATTATAATATGCAACTATTTTTTAACTGTTTATCCATAACCCTAAAATTAAAACTACGTACGTTTCTCACGTTTGTTTTTGATGCTATTGCAGGCTCAATCGAATGGAATATATAAGAGTTGCCTGCATAGAGCAGTGGTGAATAGTGAGAAACCAAGGAAATCACTAGCATTTTTTCTATGCCCAAGCAAGGACAAAGTGGTAAAACCACCAAGAGAACTTGTAGACAATGAGAACAACCAAAGGAAATATCCTGATTTCACATGGCCTATGTTGCTAGAATTTACACAAAAGCATTATAGAGCTGATATGAATACTTTGAAAGTGTTCTCTAAATGGGTTCAACAACAAAGAGCCTAGGTGGTGGAAATATAATATAAATGTGACCTATGTTGGAAGTTAGCCCTTATTTAGTAAACTCCTTAATTTGGAAAAAAAACAAGACATTGGAAATTGAAGGAAAGAGGAGATAGAAATGGTGCATGATCATAGTAAAAAGGAAAGTTTCCATGATAGTTTGGAGATTGAAATTATGAAGCTATGCAAGTTTTATTTCTTTCCTTGCTTTATTATTTAGAAGATAAGTAGTATTAGTAGTAGTAGTTAGAGTTAGGTTGAGGTATTGAGTGATATAATGTGAGAGTAGTGATAGATAATCAAATTTTGGCTTTTATTTCATGTATAAAATTCAATGGAATAATATATCAATCTTGTGATTCTCGAGTGATGAATACAAACCTTTAAATTGTTCGTTGATGATTATTAGTGTTTAATCAAAGTAGATTGATAACAATATTAATGCATGTGGCTGTAAAAGAGTAAAGATTCCAAATTTAACTACTACATAAGAGA